TGTGAGGTTCGAACTCCAGCAACCTGAGGCTGACAGCTTTGTGGAAGCAGCCACTTAAAGGCCTGAGCTACGGCCAGGCCCCCAATATATTTGTGATGTTGGGAAAAGTACTTTTTTATTTTTTTGAGGCAGGATCTCACTGTGTAATTCAGGCTGGCCTTAAGTTCACTGTGTAGCCCAGGTGAGCCTCAAATTTTCAGCCATCCTCCTGCTTGAGCCTCCCAAGTGCTGGGATTCCAGGTGTGCCCTACCACACCCAGCAGGAAAAATACTTTCTAAGCCCTAGTTTCCTATTCAGTAAAATAGAAATAATGAAAGTCTTCATATCTACTGTTATTACAAGGAATAAATGAAATTATTAAAGGATTCAGTTTTGTTCTTTTTTTATGTGTTTAGTACAGGGCCTATAAGAGCTCACTAAGCAGATCAGACTCATAGTGATCCTCCTGTTTTCAGCCTCCCAAGTGCTGGGATTACAGGCATGTACTATCACACCCAGTCTCAATCACTGTCTCATTGCGCCCCTGGGGGTAGGTCTGGCACTGCATGCCGGGGATTAAACCCGACTAGGCCTATGCAGGTGCTTTAGTCCACTGAGCTATCTGGCTGGCCTGCATTTGGGTCGTTCTTTTTTTTTTTTTTAAGGATTCAGTTTTGTGTTCAACTACACAATTATTTTGAGGGTCACTATAATTATAAATAATTATGTAGTTCTCCAAATAAGTAATCCATTTGCTCTTTTTTTTTTTTCAGAAGCAGGGATTGAACTCAGGCCCTTGCACTTGCCAGGGAAGCACTTATTCCACTGAGCCATCTCCCCAGCCCCCATTTGCTCTTTAATGCTTTTCATATGTATAACTTTTCTGTAACCTATGTTTTAAGAGCATGCAGTGGACAGTATTAAAAGTAAATTAAGTTTTTGTATAAATTATTAGTGCTTTAGTGATTTAAATTACTTCTGTATTTTAACAGTCCAGAAGAAAAGATTAGACAATTAGAGAAGAAGGTAAATGAGTTGGTAGAAGAAAGCTGTATTGCCAACAGTTGTGGAGACTTAAAATTGGTAAGTTTATAAACTAATAAAATTCAAGATTAAGATTATGCCAGGTGTGATGGTGCATACCTATAATCCTAGTACTAGGGAGGCTGAGGCAGGAGGATCCCTGCAAGTTCAAGGTCAGACGGGGCTACATAGTGAGTTGAAGGCTAGCCTGAACTGCATAGTGAAATCCTGTTTCAAAAAGACCAAAAAATAAAAAAAGAAAAAGATTAAGATTATGAGGTACATATAGATGCATGTGTCAACTCTTTTATATATGCACAGACAGACATAGGTAAATATTTTCATTTTGTTGAATGGCCTTAACATTCTGAATAAAGCAATCATTTTAAGCACCAGAAATTGTAACTCTACTTTATGATTTCTAACAAAATACTTGGTAAGTTTTGACATTGGTATTTTTAATATGGAAAAAAATGCTATTGGATTTATTAATTTAATTTTGCAGCCCAGGAGACTGTGGGATCAGACTGTAGTACAGCACCAAAAGGCATAAGTGCCATGAGCCCCACACAGCATTAGGTGCTGGTTGTTTTGTTTTATTTTGCTTTTTATGGTATTGGAAATTGAACCCAGAATCTTTGTAGTGATGTCTATCTCCACACATTTTATAATATTTTATTTTGAAACAGTGTATCACTTAAGTTGCCCCATCTGGGTTCAAACTTGTGCTCCTTCAGTCTTAGCCTCCCAGAGTTCTGGGATTATAGGCATGCTCCACCATTTTCTATTCTGTTTTGTTACTGAAGCTTCATTTGCTACCATGAAATACTTTCTTCCAAGTATACCACAAAATCATAGTTTGCTTTTTAGCCATCTAGCTCTGATTTTTAAAATTGTGTTTTTATATAATTTCTGTGACTTACTTACCAGATTAGTGCATACCATTAGAGAAAAATGTTCACTAAAAAACCCCTGCTTTTATTGCTCATAGAACTGGTGTTTTGTTTTTATGTTTCTAAGAAAACAAAGTCTGTTACTGAATTTGTCTGTGGAAATCAACAAAAAAGTCTTTTGATACTCTGAGTAGGATCAGAGCCCAGCTAAGAATCTCTTATGATGCTGGGCAGCAGTTATCCCCTAACTTGCTCTATTTTGAACGCCCCCCACCCCGCATCTGTCTGAATTCCTACCTCACAAGTTCAAAATAAAATACCCCAAAATTCAGGAAGTGGGAGTAAAGGAAAGGTATAGAGGCCAACTTAAAAGAGGAGGAAAGTGTATGGTAGAGAAACTTGACCCAGGGCAAATATCCTTTCATCCTTTATACTGTCCAGAAAGACCACACAGGCAATTTATGTTGAGCTGCAGTTTAAATAAATATTCTAGTTTTTATCCTTGCAAGGGAAGTTTAACACAGGGGCATCCTAGAGAATCCATGATTTGAAAATGAATTCAGCAAGCTTTGTATAACTGTTTCCCAAGTGCATAAAAGTTGATGAATGCTCAGATTTTACAAAACATGAATCTGATTTCAGGCCTTAGAAAAGGCTAAAGATGCAGGAAGAAAAGAAAGGGTCCTGGTGCGACAACGAGAACAAGTTACAACTCCAGAAAATATCAATTTGGATTTAACTTACTCAGTAAGTAATGAAATACCTTCTGGGAAATTTTATTTTGACTAACATTGCTGAATTTCAAGTCTTTTTATTCGTTATTTTTTATCTGTATATGAAAATTGTACATATTTATGATCATCAAATGGTACATGTGATGTTTTGATATAAGTATATATTATATAATGTTTCAGTCAGGTTTAATATACCTATCTTCTCAAACATTTATCATTTCCTTGTGCTAAAAACATTCATTCTTTGTTCTAACTTTTATGCAGTATAGTGGTACCTCTGTTTGTGAACAATTTTATTTGTGAACAGTTTGGTTCACAAGTAAAAGTATACAGTGAGATATTTCTTTTGCATACTAAATTTTGTATTTGTTTGGGTATCTTGTTCTAACCAGCAATTTTTTTATAGCATTTTAATCTGTGATTATAACTAAAAAGGGGCCTAAAATGATCATTATGCATTTTTTTGCAATATTTTCTTTTTTAGGTACTCTTTAACTTGGCCAGTCAGTATTCAGCTAATGAAATGTATGCTGAAGCACTGAATACATATCAAGTTATAGTGAAAAATAAATTGTTTAACAATTCAGGTGGGTACGTATAATCATTTTTGCTGCTAGAAATAATTCTTTCATATTGTTATTTACAGCTTCTTACTTTATACTTCTTTATAATGAAATAACCTGTGCTCTAAAGACATTTATTTTTGCGATACAGATTCTTATTTATTTTTTATTTTATTTTTTTGTCAGAACTAGGGATTGAACTCAGGCCCTTGCGCTTGCCAGGGAAGCGCTTATTCCACTGAGCCATCTCCCCGGCCCCACAGGTTCTTGTTTAAAGACACTATATTAAAATCCATACAGATACAAACACAGATGAAAAACATAGTTGATGTGCAGTATACTGCTTAACAGTACACGGAAATTGTGTGCTGTTCTCATGGTAGGAATGATCCATGGCAACCCAATGAGCCATTCTTTCTCTTATTGCAAATGTATCCTCAGGAGACTAGAGTTTCTATTTAGTATCTATATTTATAATTTTTGGTAGTAATATTTCAATTTATAATATTGTTTTATCTAATATTATTAAAATGCATGTGGCATTATTAAGTTTAATTTTAACGTTGTATATTTTTAAGTCCCATTTCTTAGTAGTGTACACTTCCAGTTTCATAATATAAATCAGTCATTTCCAAACATATTTTCAGGATTCTACCTATCTTAAGTTCTGTTTCCTCACAGAAGAGTAATAAATATATTACAGTAGAGCTATCTTAAAAGTACATCTTAGTTAATGAATAAATCTTTAAAAGAAAGCTTTAGAAGACATGAATTAAGGTCATGAAAGATATCATAGAAAAGGTGCAAAAATGAAAACATCAAGCATTCTTTTTTTCATTTAGGAAGATTGAAAGTGAATATGGGAAACATTTATTTAAAGCAAAGAAATTATTCCAAAGCCATTAAATTCTACCGAATGGCCTTAGATCAAATCCCAAGTGTCCATAAAGAAATGAGGTAAGTGTATAGTATAATTGTAAACTTTTAAGAATTGTTCTCTGGAAACAAGACAACTCTTCTGAACTGTTGTCAGTAGGTTGAACATTTTGAAATGTTGGTACATCAGAGGTATTGTATTTATTTATATGGGTAATATTTTGTTCTGTTCCCGTGACTATACATATTTGTACAATGTCAAATTAAAAGGTAAAGGCATAGCATGTGATCAAGAGAAATAAAACTAAGTCTAGTAACCATCTGGGAATTAATCCTGCAAGCCATTGGTACCAAGACATAACTTAATGCCAACAAAATGCCACAATATGGGCCCTATGTAATGTGACAAACTACAATACAAAGCTAGAAATTAAGATCACCTCACTTGAGAGTAAAATAGTGAATGGTTTTACTTAGGAATTTTAGAAGAGGGAAAACATGATATATGATACTCCTGCAATATTCAAGAATATAAGCAGTATATTTGCTAGTTATAATTGTCCTTAGGCATCAGGGACATTACTCCTGTGACAGTTCATTTGTTTGTAAATTGTATTTTTCATGATCATTTGTTTCTTAATTTTACATGTTATCTCATTACCATTAGCAAATATTATCTAACTTATAGGACACAATACTCTAAGGTACTTTGAACCCAAATGAGACCAAGAATTTGAGCATTTTAGAAAAAGATGATCATACTATATAGCATATGTTAAGCGCTTAATAGTAATTGCAAGACAGTGGATGTTGGGGCTGGAGAGATGGCTCAGTGGTCTAAAGCACCTACTTGAAACAAGCTTGGCAAAGCACAGGGACTGCGGTTCGATCCCCCAGCACCACATGCCAGCCAGCCCGCCCCCTAGTGGGCTGAGCTGGCCACACACACACACAATAAATAAAAATAAATAAATAAAAATTAAAAAAAAAAAAAAAAGACAGTGGATGTTGTAGTAATGCAGTTGAGGAAATAATTATTCAGAACAAGAATAGTTCTGTGGTTAAGAAAGACTTCCTGAAGGTGAACTTCAGATAGGTTACTTAAGTCAGAGAAGGAATAACATTCCAGACAAAGGGAACTCTGTGACATGAGTCAGGAAGTAAACCTTTGGGATCTTGTAAGGTAATTACAGATAATCCAGTTGACATGGGGTCATGTTGAGGAGAGTGGGAATAAGGTGGGATCATACCCACTAGAATGGCTCTACTCAGAAGAGTAGATGAGGATGTAGATAGAGAAACCTCATGCATTGGGTTTGTAAAATGGTGTGGCTACTTTGGAAAATAGGCAGCTTCTTATAAGTTAAATATACATTTGCCATATGACCAACAATTTATTTCTAGGTATATACCCAGGAAAAATGAAACAAAAGCTTGTATGTGGATGTTCATAACAGTAATAATCATAAGAGCCAAAAAATGGAAATACCTAAATATCCACCAGGTAGACAGTGGGCAAATAAAATATGGCGTACATCCATAGCATCAGATACTGTATTACTTGATAATTAAAGGACTAAAGTACTGATACTTGAGGTTATATGGAAGAATCTCAGGAGGATTATGCTAAGCGAATGAGCCATAGCAGAATATTGTGTAATGTCTTATTTATAAGCAATGTCTAGAAAAGAGACAGAAAGTAGATTAGTAGTTTCCTAAGTATGTATATATAATCAGCCTTGTGATGTGACATAGGGAACAAATGTTAATGGACACAAGTACTCTTTTTAAGATAATAGAAATGAAAATAAATATATGATTATGGTTCCACAACTATACATGTAGCAATAATCATTGACTTATAGTCTTAAAGCAAGTGAATTTTATGATATATAGGTAATGCCACAATAATGCTTTGAATGGAACAAAAAGAACTAAAGAATAAATGGGTATTATTGTGGATAGCTTAAATCCATGCTAAAGATTCACTTTTCAGACTAATTCATGTTTGTTTTTGTTTAGGATTAAAATAATGCAGAACATTGGAGTTACATTTATTAAAACTGGTCAGTATTCAGATGCCATTAATTCATTTGAGCACATAATGAGTATGGCGCCAAATCTGAAGGCAGGCTTCAACCTAATTCTTAGTTATTTTGCTATTGGAGATCGAGAAAAAATGAAGAAGGCATTTCAAAAATTGATTGCTGTTCCATTAGAAATTGACGATGATGATAAATATATTTCACCAAGTGTGAGTATGAAAAAGATTGTTATGTAGTCATTGCCTCCTTATCTATGTTCCTCTCTTTCAAGAAATGAGAAAATTGGAATAAATGATTTTTTTCTCATGGTAATGAATTTAATGGATATTAAATTCAAGATTGTTTGTACTGCATTATATCCCCGACTCATCTTTCATTTAAAAAAATGTTTTTTGAGAAAGGATATCACTAAGTCATTAATTTTCCAAGTCTATGCTTAAACAGTAATTCTCCTGTCTCAGTCACCTAGATGCTGTGATTGCAGGTGCAAGCCACCATATCTGCTTTAGAGGACTTCTTGAGTTTTCAAAGGATCATGTTACTGTGACTCATAGATGATATATTTAATTTGTTATTTAAATTAGGTTGGAAGTGGGATGCTCTTGAAATGGGGCTGGAGATCATAGTTTAAATAGACTGAAAATGTTTTAGTCAAAATTTTTAAAAAGAATCATTAAAAACAGATTTACATGTTGTTCACTAAGAGCAACATTTTGGCCGTGGAACCACACAATCATTTTTTAACAGTTTAAGGTCAAAACCTTTCTAAAGTTCTTGAGCTGGGAACCTAAACTAACCTGTGCTAATTGGGTCACAAGAATGAAAAACAATTTCTTGTCTTTATTCATGAAGTAGAACATAACACAGCTCTCAAAAGTCATATTTTTAAAGACATAGGGAGAATATTATGTAATATTAATTTAAAAGGACAGATATACACCTACACATGAACAGCAATTGGAACACTAAAATAGGAATAATTTCTGGACAAAGAAATTGTTTTTCTTAATGTTTTCAAAATATTTTACAAATTTTAATGCATAAATTGGTTATTCTGTGGTCTTGTTTTACATCAAGTCAACCCATACAAAATTGCCTTTATTTATAGGTGCAAATGGTATATCTTCAGTTTCAGGGAGTTATTAGATTTTTCTTAATAAAGTATAAAGGTATAGCAGCTACTTGGTTATAGAGTGAAACCTCTGAAGCCAGACATTTGGCTCTACCACAGAATTCTTACTCTCTTTGTGTCTCAGTTCCTTTATCTAAAATTGAGATTGATTCCTATAACCTGCCTTATAGGTTGTGAGGATAAAATGAATTAATGTATGTAAAATGCTCAAAGTAATACTTGGAACATAGTAAGCACTAGATCAATGCTAATTATTATCCATTACCTTCATATTGAGAAAATATATATTGGGAAAACATCATTGTGCATGTGTGTGTGTGTGTGTGTGTGTGTGTGTGTTTGGTAGGAACTAAACGCAGGGCCTTGTACATGGTAGATAAGAGCTCTACCACTGAGCCATACCCCAAACACATCTGTAGTCTATCCCCTTTTTATTTTTTTAGACAAGGTGTCACTTTGTTCTCTAGGCTGGCCTTAAACTCATGATCTTCCTGGCTCAACCTCTTAAATAGCTAATATTTAGGCATATGCCCACCTCTCATCTGTATTATTGGTAGGGAGTAGAATTATGGATTATATTAAGCAGTTGATGATCATAAAAGCATATATGAGATGATAATATGTATTATCACATAATAACCACAGCTTCTATATAGTTGCTCCTATTCAGTTGCCTAGCCTAACCCTTTTATCAGCTGTTGAAAATTTGTTAGTTCAGTGGAAAATATAGTAGGAATCAGAAATAAGAAAAAGGGCTGGTGAGATGGCTCAGTGGTCTAAAGCACCTACTTGGAACAAGCTTGCCTGAAGCACAGGGACCGCGGTTCCATCCCCCAGCACCACATGCCAGCCAGCCCCGCCCCCTGGTGGGCTGAGCTAGCCACACACACATAAATGGATAGATGGATAAATAAATAAATTAAA